ACACACAAATATAATTGTAATTATCCGTACAAATTATCTGTGTACGTGCATTAGAATGATTTTTATATTTCTTTATTTTTTTTCATTTGTAATTTAGTTTTTCGCAAAGTTAAGTTTATCGATATTGAATTGAAAATCTATCTGCCGAATGAATCGATCGCAGAAAATGATTTCACACCCTGTATATAAGAATCTCATTCGAACATGGAGAATCTAGTTCTGAACGCTATGCAACCAGTTTTGCTGTTGAATTAATCTTATAAGACCGACAACTTGGTCACTTTGAAAGTATACCGATCGTTTAAATCGTACCGAACCGTGACTCTCGATATGATCAATTATTTATTAACGTGTGTTAACTTAAACTTTAAATAAACTTTAAAACGTTGAGAGAGAGAGAGAGATAACAACATATGTATACTTTTATCTACGAAAAATACAAATATTTAATTATAAGAAATCTATTTTTCAACGAGAAATTACTTCACACAAATGTTTCCCATAGAATTGCACATATATTTTATTTGATTTCAATCAAATACTCGTGATAATATTGATAATAAATTCTACTTAATATCACATTTCAACGAGCTTACTTCCAGTTTAAGTAATAACGCGAATGATAATTCGAATAACAACGAAAATAGAAGAAAATGATATCGTTCGATCGTTAGTATTAAAAGAATTTCATAGAGGGTATGCAATAAAACAAATAGAAAGTAGAAATAAATAATTATCGTAACGAAAGAGAAAAATAGAAAATTTCTCTGTCATAAAGAAACCGATTAAAAATCATTTCAATGTACCACGCTGGACACCTTTTTTATTGAAATATAAAAAAGAATGAAAGAAAGAAAAAAGATACAAATTAAAAAAATAAAAAAGTATTTCTTGTTGTAATATATTGTTTAAATATTAACTAGAGAAGTTAATCAAGTTATCGAAAGGTTTACGTAGTCGATATCTAATGTAACTAACCATTAGCGGTTTCAAAGCAAATCTTTGTCTTAAATTTACGAGCAGAGTGTACGCCAGACGTGCAGCTACGATAAGCGTTATCTTATAATTATTCAACGGATGTAACCATAGTATATATGTGCATGCTCTATGGGGTCGAGTTTTATAAAAGGCATGAACTACGTGCCACGTTCGAATCGAATATAAATCGATATCGTTATCATTAAATACTTCAAGGATTACATTATTTACATATTTTTCATTTCATCAATATTTTTTTTATCCTACAACACCCACCCATACACACACACACACACACAAGACACACATTTCAAATCAATTATTGATACCCGAATAAAAATGAAAGTTAAGAATATTTTATATCAAATTTAAATAATTCATAAAACATCTTGCACACACATTGTCATTTTATAAATCCAAATGATTCATAATTGTTAATGTTTAATTGTTGTTCAATTAATAGGTCAATGTTATCATTTTGAACATACAATTATTCCACAGACTTTATTTTCTTCTTCTTCTTTTTTTTTTCTTGTTATCTAAGCAAACTAATTTTTATTATACACGTAGATAAATTTATAAATTGTATGTCTCTGTGTGTGAAATTAAATAGACGAGATACGTCAAACGAGCGTGCAAATACAAAACGGTGCTCTGTTACGCAATTTAACATCATTGCGTATTTAGAGAGTGAGAAAAAGATACACGTATATATTTATCAAAAAAATATATACGTGGGTTTTCTCAACGAATGTTATCACATATTGAAAATAATTAAGTTCGGATATGAACAAATTTATGTACCATTCGTAGATTGTAATTAAAAAAAAAAAAGGAAAAAGAAAATTAGATAATTAACTCGAACATCGTATTATTTTTCGAATTAACAATGAAGTCTTTTATTCCTGAATAATAATCTAAATTATTATAGTGATTCACTAGTATACGCCTTATCTTTATCGTAATATTCACATCCTATTTACTCTATCGTATAAACGATTAAGTTTCAAAACTCAGAATTTATTAACGACAACATATTTATATTATTAATCAAAAATTATATTCAACTATATTAATCTATCGTTTATAGATATATAAAAAAAAAAGAAAAATACATACTGCAATTAGAGAAGTAGATCGTTCGTTCGCATCGAATTGCAAAACTAAAACTGTGTCCACTTGTCAAACACACAAAATATATTGTAGTACGATTAGAAGAAATTCGAACTTCAACGAAAACACGACGAACTTTGTTTAAATAAATGAACGAGATCCTGTCGAGCACTGATCGTAATTAATAAATCGATATAAATGAAATAATAATAATAATAATAAAAAAAGAAAAAAAATATATAGAAAAAGAAACACCTGGTGAACACGGAGCAGCAGCAGCAGCGGCAGACTTACTTAAGAAAAATGTTTAAAGTACGAGCGTAAACATCGAACTGAAGCTCTGCCACGGCAAGCTGCACCTCGAGACCACGCTGGCTCCAACCTTTAAATTAAGCTCCATTCACACCGACAACTTTCCTTCAAATCAATCGTGTTCTCGCGCCTTTCTCCTTCGAACTCAAACTAATTCAAAAACGAATAGAAAGACTCGCTACAATTATTAACGATCCAATCAAAAATCTTACAATGAGTTTCTACGAGGTATATATAAAACAAAATAAAAAAAGAGAAATCATTGAAATTTTGTAGAGAGAAAGAAAAACCAAAACCAAAAACAAAAAAAAGGAAAAACAATTCGTCAGAGATTTGTTCGAGAGTTCGATAGATCGAATGATTCTCGTGTCGTTAAAATAAAATGAATATAATGAATAATTGTTGTAAAAGTATATTCCATTGTGAGGATTGATCTTTGTACGAATATTTTACACGATACATATATATATATATATATATATTTATCTTGAAAATAAATCTGAGTAAGTAATGTGACAGGACAATAATAAATCTGGGGAATGTTCTTTTTTGGAATGGATGAGAGAAACTCGATAAAATATTCATCGAAACGTCTCTCTTTCTCGAGAATACGGTTACGGGACTGAGAAATTGTTTCTACCAAAAATAGCTTGATTCCGATCGAATGTTAATATAACCGGTCAATGCCCTTATGTTGTTATATACATATGTATATACCTATGTATAAACGTATGTAAGTACGTAAGTATATTAGCAAGCGAATTTCCGCTTAAAGCTATTCGCGTTTGTATATGGCTTGGAAGTATCAAATAAAACGGTACAACGTGAAAATCTTCAAGATATTCACGATGTTGTTCAATTTTAACAAGTACAATAATCCATAAAAAGGAAAAGAAAAAAAATGAAATATAAATCGAATAACATTAATTTAAATTGTTCATACCCTAGTCGATAAAAAAGAAACCTGCTTATCTTTCCTTCCTTCATTCCTTCCTTTTAAATGCAACGATGAACAATTACGATGAACACATTTGAATATTAACAATTAAGTTAAAATGAAAGGAAAAATGGACATAATATGAAAGCTCCTTAATCCAAATTCCGCACAAAGGAAGGCATCCGTGGAAAGGAACCTGCAGCAGGCCCACATCTTCCAGGTCCGAACCTAATTCATCTCGGGGCCCTGCATGTAGTAGTACGATCACCTTGCACGCTACGATGCATCTCCCTTCCAGGAATTTTAAGAACGAAACATCTGTCGTATACAAGTACAAAGCCATTCAACTTTTATTCGAAACTAAACGCAAAAAGTGGACGCCATTATTGTTCATATAAGTTCGAACGAATTAATCGATCAACAACTTTAATAATAATAATAATACAATTGAGAAAATAATTATATATTATTGATGAAAAGTTTTAGACGTCATTATTATTCATACAAATTGATTGAATTATAATCCTTCTAGAGTATATTATTCTCTCATCATTATAATTATCCTAATGACATACTAAATGGATATAACTCTATAATATAATAATATCTTTGTATGAGTGAAACTCTTTTTAAAAACCTCGTACACCGGTGGAAACTTCATTAACGATGAAACTGGTTCTTGCGGTCAAAAGTAAGTATATTTCGTTCGTATTTCCCGAGGTTAACTTACGATTCAATCGTTTTCACGATTCTAAAGTGCACTATCTATCTCTGTACACACACGTGCATAGTAAGAGAAAAGTATATAATATAAAATTAGTAGGTAGAATATAATTTGCGAAAGTATTTATTAGAACACGAGAAACATGTTTAAAATGGATGAAGTGTCATTTTTTATTCTACGGGATAATTATTAATTTCGGTTTAGTATTTTTATACGAGTCAAATTTTTGAACGAAATCAAATAAAATAAAATAAAATAAAACTTGAGTTAACGAACGAATCTACGAGTAAGTTTACTGTCCTCGTATGTATGTAAGTATCTACGTTTTACGTACTGGAATTTGTCGTGGACATATTTTCTAACTTTGCAATAAGTAAATTCCATCCGACGTAAGTTAAATTTACATTCGTTTAAGCATAACTTCGCCTTTCGCCATTTCGTCACGTTTAACTATGCATACTTAATTAATTCCTCGTCCTCGATCGTTAACAATAAACATGGCTGGCAATATTAGAAATTATTTTAGGATACGGTCCATTAAATAATATTCGAAATCAAAATTTAACATACATTTTTATACGTATTACTACGTGCTAATTCAAACTATCGTAAATAACGAATATTAAATTGCAGAAATAAAGAAAATGTTTCGTAATAATAATATTAATTAAAAAAACAAATATATATATATATATATTAAAGAGAAAAATCTTAAGTAGATCATTCGTATCGATGACGAATATTGTTACGCAATTATTCATTCGAATCACGAGCAGTGATCACGTGACATAGCGTTTTATTCTTGCTTAGAATTAGGTATGTAATATTTTATGACGCATTTCGCATGTCATTAGCAAATTATTAATATTATTATTATTACGATAATCTTCTTACTACCACCTAAAAACAAAAAATATATGAACGTGTATCTCTTACCTTTTTATCGCAAAAAGAAGAAGAAGAAGAAGAGGAGGAGGAGGAGGATGATGAAGATGATGAAGGCACTTTCGTAGAAAGTTCGACAACGAAATCCTGAACGTTCGTTGATCCGAAAGAAGAATCTTTTCTTTTATCATCGATAAATTTATTATCTTTCAAAGATAAAGACGAACGATTATCTTCAGTTTTGATCTTCGTAGGATCGTCGTCCTTTGATTTCTTTTCCAAATATTCTGGCTCGCTCGAACACTTTTCCAAACTGGACGATGCCCTTTGTTGCAACGCCGTTGGCGAATTTGGCGTTGATCTGGAAAATTCTGCTTCGTTTTTTAAACATTGCGTATCTGTTGTTTTGTCGCGTATTCGTGGAGGATCCTGATCGCGATATATCCTTCGTTGGACTTTGGAAATTTCGCACATCGTTCGACGATTCTGATCCTTTAATATTTCCACGACATTTTCCCTCTTTTTGTTTTTTTTCTTTTCCTTTCTAAATTATGCTGCCCAAAATTAACAATTAATCGTGTTATTACAAATAATTACAAGTAATTCGAATCTTGAGAACAAAAAAAATATATGATCTACGTAAACTCATTTTCAAATATTTCAACAATAAATATCGATTACTTATTGATCATAAATTAATTAACTAATTGTCTCTGTATTAATTTAGAATAAAAATGTATACATACTCTCTCGTAATTTGGAGCACAGTCCTTGTAATAAACTTTGCTTTGGCACGCGTGATAGAAGAGATTAAAATAAATGTAAAAAGGAAAGAGAAAAGATAGAAGAAAAAATTAGCCTCTTTTTCGTAACCACTATACTTCCGCAACGTGCAGAAACAAGGCAACGACTATCTTCTTGAAGGCTAAATATCCCCGTGCGTCATACAGTAGGACATCTGTTGTCCTTTTCCCTCCGAGCCCTTTCCCCTTAGCGTTTCTCCCTCTTCTACTTTTATCACGTGGTTCTACTTACTCTCTCTCTCTTGCTCTCTTTGAGTGTTTCTGTTTCTCTCTTGTTTCCCTTCCTATTCGTTGTACGTTCCCTTTTGTCGCCACCCTTTGCACATAAAAAAATTGTGCGAACCCTAAGGGCCGTCGTTTAGCCTCCTAGGCACACGACGTCTCTCTTCCTACTCTGACAATTTTCTTTTTACACGTATATTTCTCTAGTTATATATATATATGTGTGTATAATATATGTATATGTACAGTTAAAACTCTACGTGTAAATCGATTCGGAGACTTTTCGTCGCGCAAGACGTTCTTGAATGCACCACGCAAGATGTCAGCCCCCAAATTTCATTTCCCGCTCACGTTCAAATTTTAGGGGTTGAAAGGGGAAGGAGCGTTCCTATTGGTTAGAATTTTTTCGAAAAATTGGCGCGTTAATTGGAAATCGATAAACGCTACCGATAATTTCTTCATCGATAAACGATCTCGTTTATTCATTTATGCTCGTAGTTTTTAATTAAATAAAACTTTGTCTATCATATAATATCATTCAATTATATTCCGTTTATTATAATTATCATTGACGAAATTATATTTGCATCTAAATTGAAATTATATTTATGATATTATTATTGATCGATTTCTGTTATATTGTTCGATGCATAATTTGAAAACTTTCATTTAATTAAATAACTAACAAAATTGTGTAAAACTGCATTATTGACCGATATTATTTAAACGAGTAAACGATATAACTGGTGCCATCTAACCATAAAATATGAAACCTTCAAACGCATGAATATATCAAGTTATCGCATAACATATTGCGATAACCGGTAGGCTTCAGTTTGCATCACTGTGGACTTTATTGGTCTTTTTTTGACCTGCTATAATCTAGTTTAAACATATTACAAAAAAGTATCATGCAAGCTAACTTTTGGAATTTATTGACCACATCTGTCAGGGTGAGTTCAAGGGTCGAATTTGTATGTTAAACAATTTGTTCCTTTGCTCTAATGCGTCATCGTAGAAACGTTCATTACAGAAAACTATTTCGTAATATCCTGAAGGGCAACTCGACCATATAAACTTTTTGTCATTAATAAAATACTTTAAATGATTTTCGTGAACTTTCTAACAACAATGATGTAACAATTGTAAATCTTACAATATGAATCTAGAAGTTGCATGGGAAATCATTTTAATTCATGAACATCTTATGTCGATTATGTCATTGATCAATCCAATGATAACTTGGATTTTTAATTGTATGCTTTAGTCACCAATGTTTCATTTCAGCCAACATGTGCAAAGCGTGTTATACCTGGTTTGAAAACTACCCAGCAGAGAAGGTATGCCAGTGCAGTGGATGCAGACGTAGTTGTCATAGGTTCAGGTCCTGGTGGATATGTAGCAGCAATTAAGGCTGCTCAACTGGGCATGAAAACTGTCTGTGTTGAGAAAGATCCAACATTGGGTGGTACTTGCTTAAATGTTGGATGTATACCATCTAAATCTCTTCTAAATAATTCACATTATTATCACATGGCACACAGCGGGGATTTAGCAAACCGGGGTGTAATAGGTAAATATTATAGTTACAATAAATTCATTTCAATAATTCATGTAACATAAACTCGTTAATATTTCTTCGTTATAGTGCAAAATGTTCAACTTAATTTGGAGAAACTGATGGAACAAAAACGCAATGTGGTGTCTGCATTGACTGGTGGAATAGCAGGACTATTTAAAAAAAATAAAATTGAATGGTTGAAAGGTCATGGAAAAATTACAGGAAAAAATCAAGTGACCGTACTTAAGCCAGATGGTTCTGTGGAGTCTACTGTTAATACCAAAAATATTATAATAGCTACTGGTAGCGAAGTAACACCGTTTCCAGGTATCGAAATAGATGAGAAACAAGTTATTTCTTCGACCGGTGCTTTATCATTGACCGAAGTTCCAAAAAGATTAATAGTTATTGGTGCTGGAGTTATTGGCTTGGAATTAGGTTCTGTGTGGCAAAGGTTTGCTTTTAATTATTCCTAATAAACTCTATAAAAAAAGAAATTAAACTTCGTTATTATAAAAAATGTGTACTTTCACAGGCTAGGCTCAAAAGTAACTGCAGTTGAATTTACACCCACCATCGGTGGTGTAGGAATAGATGGTGAAGTTAGTCAAACTTTACAAAAAATTCTAGCTAAGCAAGGATTAAATTTCAAACTAGGAACAAAAGTAACTACTGCCAAAAAACAAGGAAGTGAAGTAATAGTTTCTGTCGAGGATGCTAAGGATCCTACCAAGAAGGAAGATTTAGGATGCGAAGTTTTGTTAGTTTGTGTTGGTAGAAGGCCATATACGGCGAATTTAGGTTTAGAAGATATGGGTATCGAGAGGGATGAAAAGGGTAGAATTCCTGTTAATAACAGATTCCAAACAGTAGTACCATCGTAAGTATAGATTCTAATATCCTAACTATTCACACTATTAATCAAAGATATATATATAATAATATAATATAATATTTATAAAGAATCTACGCTATCGGAGATTGTATTCATGGACCAATGTTAGCACATAAAGCTGAAGATGAAGGAATAATCACTGCTGAAGGCATCGCTGGAGGTACAAACATAATTTTTGACCCTATAAAAATGTAATAAATTCTAACACGCATTCTCTTTTTATTTTTCTAAACAGGAGCCGTGCATATAGATTATAATTGCGTACCTAGCGTTATATATACTCATCCCGAAGTAGGCTGGGTTGGAAAAACGGAAGAAGATTTGAAGAAAGAAGGAATCAATTACAAGGTCGGCAAGTTCCCGTTCCTTGCCAATTCCCGAGCGAAAACGAATCTCGAAGCTGAAGGTTTCGTCAAATGTTTGGCCGATTCCAAGACGGATAAAATTCTTGGAGTTCATATAATTGGCCCTGCTGGTGGTGAACTTATCAATGAAGCTGTTCTTGCGATGGAATACGGAGCGAGTGCTGAAGACTTGGCTAGAGTTTGTCACGCGCATCCTGTGAGTATAACAAATAATAAATATATTTCAAAACAATATCTCGATGAACGCATCAAGAACTCGTTTATTTTCTTTCCTCAGACATGTTCTGAAGCGCTTAGAGAAGCTCATGTGGCAGCTGCATTTGGAAAACCAATTAATTTTTAAAAAAAGAACATTGAAACGAGCACACACAAACGCGAGGGGAATGGACATGTTTGATCGCATCGTAGCTTCGATCTAGTCTACGTACGAATAATATTCTCTACCATCATACATTAATGAGTATTACTCGTTATCGCTTATTTGCATAAGAATTATAATTGTAAATAAAAATTTTAAACGTTTATTTTAAGGTGACGAATATTTGATAATAGTTTTATCTCCGTTTTACTTATGTGTATTGATCGGTAATGATTTTTGAAAATATACGAAAACTAAGCAGGAGATATAATATCATAGTTAAATATCCCTACAATTTCATTAAAAACAAACATGTACATTTCAAATAAGTAGAACAATTCGAAAGACTACGTTTAAAGATTTTAGAAATATATTACATTGGAAAGAAAACATTTAAAATTTTTATTTCAATTATCATTCAACTGCATTACCTTGGTACGATGTCATTATTCGTTGGAAAATTGAGCTAACTACGGTTGATGGTTTAATTCAATGGCAAACAGTTCCTAGTTGATTTAGTACTGTACGTTAGACTACCACCTATGACATAACAATGAGTTCACCTGTTGAATGAGACTATATATATGCACCTACAGAAACATATACATTCGTATGTACATTACACTTATCCAATTTTCTCATTGAAAGTTAGCCTAACTTTTCTGCCGATTATTAAGCATTTTTTTTCTTTCTATATTTGTGTGACATTAAATCATTCTAAAATAAAACCTAAGAAATATTGATTATGAAATAATACGCGAATAGTATAGTTAACCTTTTCGTTAGGATATGCTTTTACATCAAGTATCATTCCACATAAATGGTACGATTTCTAATATATATATTATTTAATTGTAAAACAAAATGTACATAAACCAAACCGAATATATGGAACGATCTACGAATGGAATTAATTTGAATTTAGATAAATTATAATATATATTACAGTAGAAAATAATACCGATTGCCCAGGTCTCACTAGCATGGAGGTTGCCACTATTAAAAACACTCTTTTAATTACGTTAATTAATAAATTTATATAAAACTTTTATTTATAACACACGACAGTTATAATCTAGGATGTTTATCACTCGGTATAAAAGAAAGGACTAAGGTGGTAACAACTAAAATCATTCGAGTGTTTGTTTAAATAATTTATCAGATAAAAAATGTTTCGAATTTAAAACTTCGAATTAAATAAACATCGCATTAATATTAAATACATCCAATGTATCTTTATAATTTTCCAATGTTTAAACAAACGATAATATTGTTTATACATTTGTAAATTATTGAAATTATTTTTTAGAAGAGGGAAACTCTCCTATTGGTCATTTATCACGTCAAGTGTACACTCTGATTGGTTTCGATCAGGACTGTAGTTATATTAAGAGTTAAATCGTATATTGATAATATCGTATAAAATGATAATAATCATAAATATTAATTTGTAATAAATTTAATTAATTACAAGAAGAATAAAAAAGTTATTAATGAATGATTATAAATAATAAAAAAAAAAGTAAATAAAATGAAATTAATAGATGTGATGAATAAGGGTGGGGTAACGTTGGGACATATTTACGGTGGTGGAGTATCACGTGATTAAGAGTTCGAACGACGTTGCCGATAGGGGGGAATGTCAGTAGTGTGCTCGGGGTTCGTAGCACGGCAACGTCGCTTCGGGCGCCAGAGAATAGAGCTGTGAGTGTATCACTCGTGCGGCAACACACCCAATGTTTGTGTTTTCGAATTTTTCGTGATAATAGGAGTGTGCTTGGAAGACCGCTTGGCAGGGTATGTAGCCGAACTCGTGAAAATAATCTCAGGACAATGTGGACAACGACTAAAACAACCAAGTATGGCGTCGGTGAGTTTACCTTGAAATATGACAGAAAGGGATCAACCGAACGATATCCTTCTCTTACAAAAACAGACGAAGAGAGAGACAGAGAGAAAAAGATAGATAGATGGATAGATAGATAGATAGATATAGTATAAGAGAGAGAG